CAGACAGACAGACAGACAGACAGACAGACAGACAGACAGACAGACAGCTACCCGTTTCCTCGGCCTCAAAGTTGATCTGACCCTTGGCGTCATCGACAGTCGACACTAGTAGACTGCTGGGAGCGTTGACGGTGACAGACAGGTGTCTGTCATGGCCGACTCCCATCACCCACTGGACCTAGAGACAGTCAGACAGTCAGACAGACAGACAGAGAGAGACAGAGACAGACAGACAGACAGACAGACAGACAGAGAGAGACAGAGACAGACAGACAGACAGACAGACAGGTCAATACAACGCAGAGTTACACCTCGTATGTTTATATTACTCTGTAGGGAAACATGAGCAGATTTTGTGGGTGGATGACGTGAAAATCTGTAATTCTGTTGTTTGACATTGACTATAAATATTCATGGTGCCCAGAGAATGAATCCTAATTAGTGGAAATTCAAAATGTAGCAAACTTTTTACATGTTTGGCTGAGGAGAGAAAAGTTGGTGATGCGATAAAAAACAAACAAATGTAAACAGACGTAGTGAAGGTAAATGAAGCGTGTGACTTAAAGTGAAGAGGTGGAAACAGGAGAATTACCTCCAGCAGCTGTTATAGATCTACAGACGTATAGATCAAGTGAAATGAAAAATACATTTGCCCAGTTTTAATCCTGTGTTATTTGTTCACAGTAACTCTTGTTATGAGTCAAATAAATCAAATGAAATCTGCTGCTCACATCATGTGAGTCTCTATGTTCAATCTACATTTCCACGTCTCTGGCAGAAAATGTTCAGTATTCCGACAGCAAAGGTTTTCTCACTTAAAAGTAGGAAAACATTGTGACATAGATATTTAATCTGGTAAAGAAACATATTAGATTTGAAACCACATTCAGAATCTTTGAAACCAAGAGGACCCGTGAAGAGAAGCTGGTGTGGAGGCCCCGTGGTTCTTCTCACCATGAAGCTCAGGTAGAATCTCTCTCCGCGGTGAGCGAAGTGCCAGAAACACTGCAACCCCGCGGCAGGAAGCACCACGGAGAAGTCGTACTGGTCGGTGCCCCAGAACAGCTCCTGGTCCGTCATGTTGGGGTGGAGGTCCGTCAGGGGTCCGCCATGAACCGGACCCAGAAACACCAGGACGAGGAATAAGCAGAGGATCCTGAACAACATGTCTGGAAGCGTGAGCAGCTCTTCTCTACATGGAACAGGTTTCAGGTCTGTGTGGAGAGATCTGAAATGATTAACCGGCACCAACATGTCGCCTCCGATGGTGGGAAAAGTGGGTCGCGATCACAGATGGAGTCACTGCGAAGGAGAGGAACAACTGTTCACCCTGCTCAACGACTGACAGGAACAAAACGGACAAATGATTTATTTATCAGTCTGGTGAAGAAAGAAAAAGATGGAATTGTTTTCTAGACGTCTTTAAAGAGATTCCAGCAGCTGCAACAGAGAAATCTGCATTTTTCACTTTCTGTTTCCTCGTCTGAAGTCAAAGTGTTTCTGGTTCGATGTCTGAAATAAAGAGATTTAAACGCTTAGTTCTCTGATATAAAACAGGTCAGTGAACGCCCCTCTGGTGAATATAGAAGCCTTTCTGTGACTTCTACAGACACTTTACTTTAAGGAGCTGGGATGGACATGTGTCACTGATTTCTTACATTTTATAAACCAAACGATTAATCGGTCAAGAAGATAATCGTATATACACACACACACAAGTATAGAGCTTCTCATTCATATTGTATCAGAATCAGAAGCGTTTATTTGCCAAGTATGTTGCGCATACAATGAGTTTGACGTGGTGATTAACATTAAACAATCAACACAGTGCAAAAATAGAAACATATTAAAATGTACAATAAAATATTAAATAAAGTGCACAAATAAAGAGATAACAGGACTGTAAAGATGTAAAAGTGTCGAGTGTATTTAAATAAAGAAACAATCATTCAATAATCATAATACACAAGAAATTAGACACTATTTTGGTTTTATTATTCCCAGTGAAACATGAAACACGACACTAGCTCAGTCGTACTCAACATTTATGCGAGAACTTTAGTTCCTACTACTGACATATATGAAGAGCTTGTAAAACATAGAGATTGAACAACCTGGAAGTGTATAAAGTTAAAGCAGGAAGTTCCCTCCAGATGTTAACACTCATTGTGGATACGTCTGGTGGTCAGATGGAGGTTTGTTGACAAAACATGTGTAATAAACCTGCACACAAGTCTCAGGACGAGGACACACGTTGTTTAAAATACAACGAGGTCAATCAGACGCCTCAGACTTTAGAATGAACCAAAAGAACCCAAATACAGAATGAAATGCACGTATTTCACACATGATGAGATTAGTTCAAGTCCAGTAGACTCCATTGAGTTGGAAATAAATTCTGGTATTTAAAGCAAGTCATGTTATTCATAAGTCACATGACTGTAGGCATGCTGCTTTGACACCTGTCAGCTGAGTCTCAGGTTAACTTCAGGGTACATCGGCAAGTCTGAATTCACTTTATTATCATTTTAAAAGCATCACATGAATCCTAACAACAGAACGGACGAGAGACAATACAACGTTCCTTTGTTTACGACGCCGTGTCGCACTACGTCACCAATAAAGATAGTTTAAAAAAAATACATTCATGGCAGTATTTGTGAAACTAGCGGAGCGGTAATCGGTATCAAGCAATATGAAAGTATCGGAATATCTATCGGGAAGGATAAAACTGTATCGGAACATCTCTAGAGAACCCAGAACCGGCTTCACCTGCAGCATCGGACCTGCAGTCGGAGCTCCGGAGGGAGGAGGAGAGCTCAGCTCCCGGCAGCAGCAGCAGCGTCTCCTCCTCCACCAGGAGCAGAGCTTCTCCTCTCTGGGAGCCAACACCGACACCACGCTGCTGGAGACCCAGGACATATTGCTGGACCCGCTGGAGGGAAGGGAGGCACGGGAGAACCAGAACCAGGACTGAGAGGGGCAGACTGTCAGACCTGCTGCAGTAACATGAGAGGTTTTCTAAAGAGAGTCTGGCGCTCAGAGACACTACCACTTTAGTCCACAGGGGGCGACAGAACCAACACTACATGAAAGTTCCCCATTGTGACATTAAGTCTGACAGCTTGTAGCTGGTCAGTGTTGAACCAAGTCCCGCCTTCAGTACTTCAGTCCTGCTGAAAAGCAAAATGGCTGAAGAGGAATCTCTGCAGCTTCCTTTATTCCTGCTCGCTCACTGGTGATGAGTCGTGTAAATGTCAAACACTACAGCTGAATGGTTTGTCCCGTGTGTGTGTGGACAGCCAGGTGTCGTCTCAGATTACTATGCTGTGTGAATCTTTTACTACAGAATGAACAACTAAATGGTCTCTCCCCGGTGTGGACAACCAAGTGTTGTCTCAGATGTCCCTTTTGTGTGAACCTTTTACTACAAAGCGAACAACTAAACGCTTTCTCCCCCGTGTGGACCTTCAAGTGCCGTCTCAGATTTCCGTGTATCGCAAATCTTTTACTACAAACGGGACAACTAAACGGTTTCTCCCCCGTGTGGATCCTCATGTGTATGGACAATTTGCTGCTGGAACCGAAACTTGTTTTACAAAGCGAGCAGCTGAAACGTTTTCCGTCTGAATGATGTCTCATGTGAGTCAGTAAAGACGACTTACGGGAAAACCTCTGACCACAGATGGAACAAGTGCATGACTTCTCTCCCGCGTGGACTCTCACGTGTTGAACCAAACTGCTGCTGGAACCGAAACTCGTTCTACAAAAGAAGCCACTGAAGCGGTTGCTGGTTGATGTTTTTCCAGTGTAGCGTTTAGTATCACGAGAAGGTGCTTCTTTGTTTCTGAGAGGGTTTGAACCCGACCGAGGTCCCCGAGTCTCCTCACACTCACTGCTGACGTCAGTCTCGGGTTCAGAGGACTGTCGAGTCTCCTCGGGAGCGGCGGTTTCCTCGTCTTCTCCACTCAGCACAGGGACAGGAGCGAATGGGAACTTGATATCAGCCTCCTCCTCCAGCCCTTGAAGCAGCTCCCCCCCCCTGACTGGTCCAGAGTTCCTCCTGTTCCTCTTTAATGTGTGGGGGCTCGGGGTCCTCCTGGTCCAGACTGGAGATCCACTCCTGCTGCTCAGGGAGAAACTCTTCTGTGACCACCAACAGCTGCTGGACATCTGTGGGTGATAAAGACATACATGGACACATATTAGAAAACTGTACTTTCATGTTAGCAGAGCTTAGCGTTTCATGTTTTCATTATGTTTTATCTACATGTCTGTGTTATTTTGAAAATTTATTTTATTGCAATATTTATACATTTGCAGTATTACAAACTGGGCGTCTGTGGTCACATTTCTGGAGAAAAATAAATGCTGTTTTGGTGATTTTTTCCAAAAAAATGTAGTTCAGAAAAATAGAAAGTTAATATGGAATTTTGGACGCAACCCATAAAGACTCCAGACTGTTAAACTCTGAGCACAAATCCTTTGACTTCACTCAAATAGACACAGATAGACATGATTAATAGATTCTTCATCATCCAGGACACGAATCTGAAGGATTTTAAGTGCAATCTTCAAGTAAAAGTAGTTGGTTACATTCCACCACTGCTTGTACCAAAGTATTTACAGTTTATTATCAGTACTTTTATTTCAGTAAAGGTACTAAATACTTCCTCCAGCAGATTAAAGAGATAATAAAACAATGCAAAGTACAATATTTACCTCTGGGATGTAGTACAGTAACAAGTACAATAAGTACCTCTGAGATGTAGTACAGTAAAAAGTACAATATTTACATTTTAAAATGACAATAATCAAGTACAATCAATGTACTAGCGACAACTGGTTGTAACATAATTTTCACAGATTTGTATAATTGACTTTACTTCAGTAAAGTACTGAATACTTCCTCCAGTAGATCAAAGAGACAATAAACAATAAAACAGTACACACCTGCTCTGTGTAACCGGACTTCCGGGTTGTAAGCGGCCTCCAGTAGCTTCCTCTGTCGGTGATTCTCTCGTGAAGTGAACTCGAGCGTGTCCTCGTACTCTGCTATCGTTCGTTCAAACACGTGGAATATCTCCTCGGCAGCAGCAGTTAGTCGCTGGTTGACAAAGGCTTTCAACATTTGGACTTTAGACATTTTGTTTAATAACTTTTCCTCCAAACAAACTTCGTTAAAAAAACGGGTTCGTTCACGCTGACACTGCTTCCAGCTAGCAAGCTAAGCTAACGCCATTAGCTTCAGTAGAACACCGGGAGACGATTCAGACGTTTTTATTAAATAAACGTAACAGCACCGAGTCTATTCAGACACGTTTAAATAGTAATAGTCTGATTAACGCTGTTATTAACGAGTTCCGTCTGGACCCACAAAAGGAAAAACACTTCAAAATAAGAGGGAGAACTTCCGGTGTCACACCAAAAAAGTACCGAAAATTCCTTTCGAAAAGTGTACTGAGTTGTAATTTTCACGAGGATAAAAACATGTTAACTAAATTAAATGCACTGAATACATTAATTAAAGGATAAATAAAGTCCCAAACTCTAAAACAGGTACATGTCGGTTCTACTTCCAGCTAGCATGCTACGCTAACTTCTCTTAGCATTCTTGGTTAACGGAGATGAGTCTGAGTGGAAACGTCCTGAAAAGGACAAGTTCCGTCAAACATACGAGCTCTGGTGGTTCACTACGATGTAAATAATGAACTACGTGACGAGAACAGAGCAGGACTCACGAGGAAAACCCGGTTTAAAACAAGGACCAGGAGATAAACCTCCTAAATCAGGCTACGCATTGTTTAAGCTAGCCACGGTGAACTGCTTCCGGTACCAGTTCTCCTTCAAAATAAAAGTGACAACACTATTGTTTCCTGTCCATGCCTCTGTGTCTTAGCTGTGCAGCAGAATGTTGTGAATGTTATATCATACAGTTTAGTAGATTATGGGGTTATTATTGCTTAACCTTTGTTGCTGATACCTCTTTTTACACTTCATACTGTAAACCTTTGCACATTCCTGAGATAATATTGCTAATTTCTGCACAAAAAACTACCACCTCTAAAACCTGCACAGCTGTTTCATTTCAAATTGGATATATGTTAAATATTCTTATAGTATTTTTTCATGTTATTGTAAATTTCTCAGATTCTATATCTGTTTCTTTATTTTTTTGTACATGTTTTTTATTTTTTATTTAATTGTCCCATACTATCTTCATGTTTTGCACCAATATGCCAAAGCAAAATTCCTTGTA